AGTTCCCGCCAGGTCATCTGGCAACTCCTCGCTGCTTCTAAACTGTCTGTCCGTCCCCCTGCCACTCAGTCAGATTCTTCAACTTTGCCTTTGATGTTCAGGGGTCCTAGATTGTCATATATAATCGAGTCACTTGTTTTTTCAGGTCTTTGTTGTAAGAGGGACCACAGGAAGCATCTGACTACTCCACCATCTTGGCCCTACCTCTATTGTTATGCTTTTAAAATAATATGTACTCACTTAAAACTTAAACAGTAAAGAAGTATAAAGGTGAAAGCCCCTTCCTTTCCTTCCTTTGATCTCCACTCCCACTCCAAACCTCATTATCTGTTCCCCAGTGATAACCATGTTAAATATATGGTGAATGTTGTTTTCTTGTCCTTTTAATGCGTATATACGAACTACACACACGTACGTACATATACACATATTGTTTGTAATACGTGTACAAAATATAGTTATATATTTCCCCCAGAATGCTTACAAAATGTGGAAACACTGATCTGCAGCTTGCTTTTCTCACTGAGCGGCCCATCAGGGATAACATTCCATGTCAGATCTAATTGTCATATTTAACAGTTCAATTGTACTCCATGGCATGATGTATTATAATTTATTTCATCCTTTGTTATTGGTATACATTTTCCTTATGACTTTCAAATGCTTAAAATGAATGAAACTCAGTATTTAAGAATTTATTGTATATTTCATAGATATTTTCTACACACTTAATACATTGGTAAGTCTTCTCTTTCCATTTCTAGCCTGTGACCCAAACAACAAACGCCTTCGTCAAATCAAGGACCAGATTCTAACAGACTGTAGGTACAATCCCAAGATCCTCTTCCAGTTGCTGCTAGATACTGCACAATTTGAGTTTATACTCAAAGAGGTAAAAATATTGAATGAATAAGTACCAAAGTCTTAGGTTTTTTTTTAATATTTAAATATGTAACAATGATTTAGTGGCTGTGTTTCTGTGATTTAAGCTATAGACTGTAGCTACCTGAGGTAGTTCTTACAGAAAGAGGACAGGATTAAACCTTTAACAAACATTTAATGCTACTGTCACTGGGGAAACGGTGGGAAAAAGTGCACAAGACTGATGGTTACAGTCTAATGAGGAATACAGACATTAATCGAAGAGTCACACTTATGAACGTGTAAACACAAACTGAGGTTAGTGCTCTAACAGAAAGAAACGTGATTCTCTGGAGATGTAAAACAGAGGACGCTGTCCTAGCCTGGAACACTTACCTGAGAAGAGAAGCAAGAGCTTCTGAAGGGACCTGAGTAACACTTAAAAGATGGCATGATGTTAAATGTTAATCTTTACCAAACCAAACCCGTTGCTGTTAAGTCGACTTCAATTCATAGCGACCCTATTAACTGTAATCTTTATCGAAGCAGACTGCCACATCTTTCTCCCACAGAGCGTCTGGTGGGTTCAAACTGCTGACCTTTTGGTTAGCAGCCCAGCACTTAATCAGTACACCACCAGGGCTCCTTAGTTATCTATGTATGTGTTGTAATAAATTGGGATTCCCCCAGGCTTTCTCAGTAAGCTACCTAATGTGGATTTTCTCCTAAGTTAATAAATCTTTTCTGTCTCTTCAACAGATGTTCAAGCAGATGCTTTCTGAAAAGCAAACCAAATGGGAGCATTTTAAGAAGGAGGGCTCGGAGCGAATGACTGAGCTTGCTGATGTCTTTTCGGGAGTGAAACCCCTAACCAGAGTGGAGAAAAATGGTAATTGCTGAAGAGGAAATATTGGTGTGTTTGAAATATATACACAGACTGTTTGAAATATTAGAAACCGAAATAAGAAGAAGTCCTTATGTTTTCATCATTTTATGCTATAACATTGCCCTCTTCTATTTTAACATTGCAGGGTTGCTGTGAGTCGAATATGAACTCCAAGACACACAACAACAACAGATAAAGATCTGAAGTTTAGTGTTTGCTGCTTCTAACTTTGTGCCCCCTTGGGCAATATTGTTATCTTCTCTGAACTTCAGGTTCTTTATCTTCGAAAGATGGGGTTAGGCTAAATCAAAGGTTCTCATACTATAGTTTGTAAATAGGTTTTAGAGAATCATAACTTCTCCTCTGAATAGTATGTAAAACTATGTGTGTAACTTTCTGTGCATATGAGTGATGGGAGAAGAGGGTCTATAGCTTTCATTGTCTTCTCAGAAGGATATTAAAAAAAAAAAAACGCACTGCCATCGAGTTGATTTTGACTCATAGCGACCCTATAGGACAGAGTAGAACTGTCCCATAGAGTTTCCAAGGAGCGCCTGGTAGATTCGGTAGATTCGAACTGCCGACCTTTTGGTTAGCAGCCATACCAGTTAACCACTATACCACCAGGGTTTCCCAGAAGGATATATTGCCCAAGAATATTCATAACTACTAACATAGATATCAAAGCTTCTTCTAAACTTGTTTGGTTCTTGGTCACTTTCATCAATGCACCTGCCATCTAGTGGCAGAAGATGGGATCTGCAGACTGCTGTGAGGTTTTTTTATTGTGATGAAATATGTATCAAAACATTTGCCATCTCAACCATTTTTATGTGTACAGTTCAGTGACATTAATTATGTTTCCCATGTTGAGCAACAGTCACCACTGTCTGTTTCCAAATTTTTCCATCACCCTTAACAGAAACTGAGTACCCTCAAGCAATACCTCTCCAGTTCCCCCCTCACCCACCCCTTGATAACTACTAATACTTCGGTCTCTGTGCATTTGCCTCTTCTGGATATTTCATATAACTGGGTTCATATAGTTTTAGTCCTTTTGTGTCTGACGTATTTCACTCAGCAGAATGTTTTCAGGGTGTATCCGTGCAGTAACATGTATCAGAACTTTGAACTGTAAGCACCGCTGAAGTTCTACTTCAATGATTTTGATCCTGCTTCATTAGAGAATTTTCCCTGTAGTATACTTATGGTATAACTTCAAATTTTTATATAGGTAGGACCTTTCAAAATGCCCCTGGAAGACAATTCAGAACTTCAAGATGACCAATTTTTTTAATGCTTAATGTTTATTTTAACTGTCAGATTCATTTCCAGTGGAGTTAATTTTACAGTAGAATTGCTTAATAGTGTAGCTTTTTATTAAAGCAGAAACCTATTTTTAATCAATATGAGCTTGTCATCACTGTATTTTGACATTGATCATATTTTAATCATATTGATGATTTATTTGATGCTGAGTGGTTGGTCTGAAATATATTTCTGAATTGTATTATTGTTCCTGTTGGAAAAAGCCAGCCAGCTTACAATGATGCAGTATAAATTGGCAACAGGTTTTGCAGTTCACTATATTGTGACTAAAAAACAAAGAACCACCTGTAACAATCGGGCCAGATTAGTTATTTATGAATCAGACCCATTAATGTCTCTTACGGTCTTTTTTAAATCCATTGCTATCCATTCAGCTCCAACTCATGGTAACCCTGTGTGTGTCAGAGTAGCACTGTGCTCCATTAGGTGCTTATGAATACCAGCTTTGTTTCATGGGTCACTCACAAACCACCATCTTACCCTTTTTCTGGCTGTATAGCATTTTTCAGCTTAGGAAGTACTTTCAGAGATATATCTCATTTGATCCTCATAACCCTATCAGATAAGCCTCTTAGTCCTTATTTTACATATAAGGAAACCAAAGATTTAAAATATGATCATTTTGTTGAGGATAACAAAGGTCCAGAGACCACGTTCTAACTCAGCACCTCAGACTCCAAATCTTGTGCTCTTTCTACCATTCCATAGTGTCCCTCAATCCTACACACACACACAAAAAAAAAAACCTTTAAAATTGCAACTAGTGTCCCTGGTGCCAATTCGTGATATAATTTAGGTTGTAAATTATTAGATCTTTTTAATATAGTGATACCATCCCATTGGTAAAACAAAACCAAAAAAAAAGGCTTTAAGGTTTTAAGGAATCAACTTGGTGAGGTAAAAACAGCACAGATTTTGAATCTGGACAGATAATTTTGACAGTCCCTGGATAGCATTCTATGGGCATCGCCTCCTTCGTCTGTGAAGGGTGATAATTTGTACCTCCGTAGATCGTGAAGATTAAATGAGACACTGCATAGAACTTCACCTGACACTCCGAGGTACTCAGAGTACGCTAATGCCCTTCCCTTTCTCTGCTGTGAAATGTCAGCTGCTTTGTGAATGCAGATAGCACCACCAAACTCTCCAGACCTCTCCCACAACTCACCACTCGTAACTTCCACTTCTGCCTGGATGGGCTTCTCTCTGCCCCTCCAGACATGCCATTGTCCTTCCTGACCCGAAGCCTCTGCTCCTGCTTGTCCCTTCATCTAGATAAACTACCTCTATCCATCTCTGCCTCTCTAGCCTTTACCCTGCCTCATTTCTCCAGAAAACTCTCCCTGGAACTCTGGTGTGTCGCTCAGCTCCTTCCTGACTCCTCCCCACCACCACTACCATCTTTGCACATATCGTTTATAACAGGTACTTGGGCCTCTTGTCATTTTGCCAGCTATTGTAATCTTAAATTATTTATATAGAAAGTGTGATTTCTTCTCCTAGGTCACATGCTGCAGGTCTCTTTGTGGTTAGTGTTACTATTTGGAGAGTTCCTGAGAGCAGTGTTAGGGGCATAGTGAAAGCTGCATAAGTGAGAACTGGATTTGTAAAAGATTATTCAGTTAAACTCACAGCCACAGTTACAGGAGTTCTGGAATTTCAGTAGTCTTTCCTTGTTTCTGTATTAATAGAAAATCTTCAAGCTTGGTTCAGAGAGATCGCGAAACAAATCTTGTCTTTAAACTATGATGATTCTACTGCTGCAGGCAGAAAAACTGTGCAACTAATCCAAGCTTTGGAGGAGGTAAGGAGAGTCTTCTTCAATGACGGTTCTTAGGTCGTGAATCATACTCTTGGACCCACCCAGCAATTTACTTCTTTTCTTTTTTTTTCTGGATAGCTGAATGGAATCTTAACAGCCTCTAATTGTTAGCATAATGTTAGGGGTTTTAGAGAGACTGAAGACTGGGAGATGAAAGAAAACCATCTTTCATTAAGGAATCTAAAA